GAAACAGTATGAAGGAACTTCAAGTGGGGCTTCAGCATCTCTCTCTCCTAAGATTTTTTTTGTTTTGCTTTGTTTTGTTTACTTGAAAAAGGTAAGAACTCCTTTATTTCATGATCAGACGTATGGTAAACAAATGAGCGTCGATCTCTCTTACAACTGTCGCATGGGTCACGCCTACAACACGATTAGGGTGGTTCCCTACAGTATTAACAGTATCTTCACCTGAAGAAGGATGAAGAACTAAAAATGAACTATTTCTTTCACCTTTGGGTTTAAGCCCCTGGCATTCGCAGTGAAGATTAGCAACACACCTGGGGTTTCTTTCTCGTTCATATGAGTGTATTGCAGACTGTTGCCATGGCAACAACCAATCGTAAAGATAACCACTTTTGTGCTATTTTCAACCTATTTACTTCTATTTCAAAGGTCAGCCTCGGTAAAATAATTTTAACCTGGGCAGTCTTGTAAAAACGATTTCGAACAATAGCTTAATTTGATAAAATGAAAAGTTTATCTAGTAGATTCGTAAAAATCCTTAATCTTCTTATTTTTTATTAACAAAAGAGAAATCCCTCGACAAAATTTTGTCAAAAAATTATATTGTGAAGTAAGCATCTATATCATGAAGTATACAAAAGTTCACGAAATTTCACCGAAGGAAACACGAGAAAAAAAGCACTGGTTTTTTTCGTTGGCTTCTTTGTGACGTCATAAAATTTCGAGATGACCACGCGCGCATGCATATCAATGACCCACTGGCGTCATTTGCACGTGCTGCTTATGTCCTACCTAAAGCTACTTTTCGCATTAATATGACACATTTTTAGAGAGAAAAATTTAAAGAAGGAAGTCTTACCCTATGGACGGCTAGCATTTTGTAAATGAGCAATAATGGCTGCTAAAATTCGACCTTGTTTTTTGTTACTGAGCGCTGATTGGTTGAGAGAGAGGGCATTTTTTCTTAATCGAGGGCATTTTTAGTAATCAAGAGAAGGCATGATTACCTGTTGACGATTGGTT